GGCAAAGTAAGTCTTTTCTTTGAAGTGGGGGGTAGTCTTATACAGCGAATATGGGCCTAAACGTATGTTTTAACTGTAAAATTAGGGGGTTGTCTTATATGCCGGAAAATAACGGTATTTTTTTTTTCTTTTTTAAAAAATATATTTTTTTATTGATTTCAGAAAGGAAAGAAGAAGGGGGGAGAGAGAGAAGCATCAGTGATGAGAGAATCACTGACTGGCTGCCTCCTGCACGCCCCCAACTGGGGATGGAGCCCACAATCTGGGCATATGCCCTGATTGGGAATCGAACCCTGACCTTCTGGTTCTTAGGTTGACACTCAACCACTGAACCACTCCTGCTAGGGTGTATATATTATTTTCTAATCTATTTTCTTTTTTATCCAATAAGATACAGAAACATCTTTCCATATCAATAAAATATTTTTCCAGTTTCATTTTTTAATATATATTTTTATTGATTTCAGAGAAGGAGAGGGAGATGGAGATAGAAACATCAATGATAAAAATTATTGATCGGGCCGAGACTGGTTTGGCTCAATGGATAGAGCGTCGGCTTGGGGACTGAAGGGTCCCGGGTTCAATTCCGGTCAAGGGCATGTACCTTGGTTGCGGGCATATCCCCAGTAGGGGGTGTGCAAGAGGCAGCTGATCGATGACTCTCTCTCATCGATATTTCTAACTCTCTATCTCTCTCCCTTCCTCTCTGTACAAAATCAATAAAATATATATATTTTTAAAATCATTGATCGGCTGCCTCCTGCACATCCCCTACTGGGGATTGGGCCAGGCATGTGCCTTTGACCAGAATCAAACCCAGGACCTTTCAGTCCGCAGGCTGACACTCTATTCACTAAACCAAACCAGCTAGGGCTCCAGTTTCATTTTTAATGACTTTATTTGTCACCTTAGAAATGAAGCCGTTCCTAACCACTCTATTTAAATTTGAAATCTGTACCTTCCATTATTTTTTTATTTTGAATTATTTTTCTTCATAGCATTTTAAAAACATATATTTTTATTTATTTCCAAGAGGAAGGAAAAGGGGGAGAGAGAAATTTCAATGATGAGAGAGAATCATTGATCGGCTGCTTCCTGCATGCCCCGCACTGGGGATGGAGCCCACAACCCCAGGGTGTGCCCTTGACCAGAGTTGAACCTGACCCTTCAGTCTGCAGGCTGATGCTCTAGCCATTTAGCCAAACTGGCTAGGCTCTTCATAGCATTTGTCACCTAACATTAAATGTTACATTCGTAAATATTGTGAAATTTATTTATCTGTTATTTGTTTCTCTTACTAGAATGTAGTAACATGATGGCAGAAATCTTTGCTTGTTTGTTCACTTCTCTACGTCAGTGCCTAGAACTATGCTTAACACACAAAAGATGTTTGAATATTTTGCTTCATGAATGACTGAATGAAGACTATATAACATTTCATTATATTGTTTTCTGGTTGATTGTTAAAATACTGTAATTTATATTTCTCCTCTATCCACATTTAAGGCAGCTTTTAAAGTTTTCAAAGGATCTGGTCTTAAGTAAAAACACAGAATATCTACAATCCATCAATTTGCTAAAATTGTAACTAAATGTTGCTTAACTTTACCCACAAGTGCCATTTGGAGAAATAACATTTATAGAAAACTGAAAGGCAAACAATCCACTTGTCCATTTAGTCTAAAATGAGTCCCTTTGACCAGAATCGAACCCAGGACCCTTCAGTCCACAGGCCGATGCTCTATCCACTGAGCCAAACCAGCCTGGGCCATGTTTTGTCTTTTGAGTATTCTAGTAAGATGTTGCTTTTTGGCAAGTATAAGTTAATCAATTATTAAACCAAAAACACTGCAGTGGAGATAAATACTCTAGCTATCATAACCTAAAGGTATTAACTATTAAGAGCATCTAATTCCCCTTTCCCCTAGTACCATGTTCACCAAACCACTCTCAAATTTTAAGATGTCCTACCTGTATATTTTTTTTTACAGAGAATGGAAATGCAACTCTGCCTCTAAGCAATATACTTCCTTCTACAATTTTAACACATAAACCCAAATATTTTATTGCATTGGATTCTAGAAAGACTAGAAAATTCTGCTTGTAATTTAAAATTAGGATCACTATTTCTGTCAGACATGATTTTGATGTGGTCCTCGACTAGAAGTAGAGAGAATGGGCTAATTCCAGTAGTTTCCATCCAGCTTAGCAGTTTGCATGAAAATGTCTGAAACCAAATGTCTCAAGGGACCAGGAAAGGAAGCAGGAACTTCATTTTTGCCAGACTTATTTTAAGTCTAAATAAAGTAGGCAACAGGGTATATTGGGAAGAAATGTTCATCATCACATGCTTCTGATTAGAGTTTGAACACAACTGGGGACCTGACTGCCATCATACAAAGATCTTTGGTAGGCTTTCTTTGTGCCGTTTCAAAGTACCACATACACACCACCTCTGAAGGCTTGGGCTGGCACAGGTGAAGTTCTTAGCTTTAGGCATTTGACCGAAGTGGCAAGATAGGGGAACAACTCTGATTTCCTATCTCAACGCTTTCCAAAATCTCTAATATTCCAATTTTTGCCTTTAACAAAGGGCATGACGAGATGATTGGATCAAGAAATGTCCTGGGGTGGTGGGGGAAGAAGTCAATTGGGGAGAAGGAAACATATGTAAAACTTTAGACAATTAAAAAAAATTATAAAAAGAAAGAAACATCCGGATCCCAGGCTACACAGTGTAGAAGTCACAAACCCTGATCAGTCCTTCTCATTAAATTTCTGGGCTTTATTTATTATTTATTTTTTAATACGACCATTACATATTACACAAAAATAAAAGTCAAACGAACTTGGTATTTATAAATTATTAAATAAAAATACAGGAATATATATTTATATTTATAGAGCTTTCTCTTTTCTTCTAAACTAACCAAATCTTTCTCCCGCCATTTTGTGATTTAAAAAAGTAAAATAGTGTATGCCCTAGAACAAGTGGGGAGTGGGCTTAATAATCGCAGGACCCAGTTGCTCTACTTCTGCTCTTTCCTTGGCCTAAGCAAATCCCTATTTGCCCCTTTGAGCTCTGGAGAAAAGGAAACACCCTCTCCACCCATTTAATCTCTGAAAAATAGCAATTAGATTTATGTCCCTTATTTAAAAAAAAAATAGGAATGGGTTTAAAAACTAGGAGCCATACTCAGGCTTCCTGGCCAAGAACTAATCCCAAGGAACTATATGGCTCTAGAAGAGTCTCTACTTTTCCCTGACAGAAGATTCTCTGGGGTTTCCATTGCCCCTCAAGAAGGGCCAGATAGTTCAAAACAGCTCACTGTGGTCCCACCCAAGCTATGCTTCTGGGAATCCATACCAACCCCTTTTCACTTTCAGAATACAGCCCCTCCTTCCACCCAGGTGTGAAGGCCTCAGAGTAGGGCATCTCAGTAACCATGGTCCCCACTGCCCCTGTTTGCTAAAGGCCCCCAGAAGAGCTAACATGGAAAGGCACCCTGGAGTAGAGGGTAGGGTGATAAGTCTGCCCCAAATCTGGGGGAGCACAAGCTCCAATTTGGAGCTGATGGTCTAGTCAGTGGTTTTCTAACTTTTTCAGCAGCAAACCCCTTAATGCAAATAAAATCTTACCCTGAACCCCGACATGTAAGACAACTACAAGGAGAGCTGTTCTGTTTGAGGGCAAGTAGTCCAGCCTGCTCAGAGTGCCACCCTCTCCCCTCCCCTTTCACCTTCACTTTCCCCAAGGACTCCTGAGGCAACCCCTAGGAAATGTTGGGGCTCTGCCAAGCAGTTTGAAAACTACTGGCCTAGTTAGTCCTGAGCAAGTCAGAGACACTCCCACCCCCACCCCAATGGCCTGCCACAGAGCAGCTCCGAGTTCCTAGCATCAGCATACTCAGGACAGGCCAGTGGCACATGCAGACTACCACCTCCCCCATAAACACCATTGAAAAGTGCAGCCCTCGCTCAAGCGTATAAGTTTGGGCTAACCACCTGAGGCCAATTTTGGTCCCACATTTTAGTGAGTACAACTATGTTGCCACCTTCTGGGACCAAGTGAAAAATCTCCAAGAAGAGTTAACCATGGTCTAGCTAAGCTGATCAGTGCTCAGGGTCAAGGGCAGGGTTCTAGAGCACTGAGTGTGGAGAAGTCAGCATCGGAGAGCAGCAATTTTAGCACCTTAGAAAGTGCAGCAGTGAGGTCTGGCTCAGGGCATGCATTTGGAGTGAAATCATCTTTCCCAAAAGAAAAAGCTATGATCTGAATCTGTTCTAGAGGGCTGTGAGCGCTAAAGTTAACATTCGCAGACTCTGAGGTACAGACAAGTAACACCCATGCAAGCAGCGTGGCTTCAAAGAAAATACATATGCTTCCAGATCACGGGAAGTACTCTAGAACCCAAACACCTGGCCCTTGACAAAGCAACATCAGAGCCCACCACATGGAACAGGCCAGGCACAAGTACACATCACCCTCACACCCATGGGTTTCAGAGCTGGAATGTTCCTCTCAAGGCATCAACAGTCTCACTGAGAGACATCGTGCAGGACCCAGACTGTATTCCAGATCAGCATGTATGTCTCCACTCAGAAGGAAAATTAATTAGAGCCCCAATTTAGAGTTTACGTTTGGGAACATAAGGTCCCAGAGATCGGGAACACTTTAGGCACCAGTGTACCCCAGTGGGAGAGGAAGGCAGCGGGCAGGTCCAGCTACCAACGCCTCTTCCCACTGCAGGCTCCGCAGCCCTGCCTTTCTGTCAGAGCCCAGGAGGCAGCAGCAAGTGCATGACGCACAAGGAAGGGGGACCGTGGAGGAACAAGGCCAGCTGTAGAACTGCACTTCTCTCCAGAACCCTGCTCACGACTTTCTGCAGAGCTGCAGAGAAGTGCCCAAAGCCCTCAACTGCATACAGTGTTTCTCCCTTAGCCTTGAGGCAACGGGACATGGGAAGGAGGGAGGGGGGGGTTGAGAGTGAGGCAGAGAACTACCCCTGCTCTTGCCACTGCAAGAAGGAATGTTTTCTCCTTAGTCCCACTACCGCCAGATCAGACAAGCAGCCCAGCATGCACATGAGCACGCGTGCACATGCACACGCATGTCCAAGCAGCCCCTGTCGCAGCCACCTCTCCCTATCACCTGAGAATCTGAGCTTCCATTCAAAGGGATGTGCCCTCTGTGTTTCCCCCAAATCCCACTCATCCAATGGAGATGCCAGCCCCTTATGCAAGTCCGCCTTCCTCAGGGCTGCAAACTGAGCTCCAGCTGGTTTCCTGTGCCCACACCTGTAGGCATGACCTCTCCCTCCTCCCCTCCCCCTGGAATGACTCCGTCTCCTGGCCCCCTGACTTTCCAGATACATTCTCCAAGGTCTCCAGTTCACTATGCCAACTGCCTGCCTGGCACACTCAGTTCCCTCACACACTATCCTGCCCCTTCCCATCCTAGTTCCATGCCCATCCATTCACCCACTTCTTTTAAGGGCATTCTCTGTTTAGTTCCTGCTTTCCTGTCCCCCACCACACCTAGCCCACTTGGCCCTGGACTTTCTCACTTGCTGGCAAAAAATGCTCCTACAGTTACCAAGGCCCCCAGCGCCACGGCCCCCGTCAGCACTGTTCTCACTGAGGCCCAGTTCCCCTCCCGCAGGCGTCGCGCCTCCTCCAGGGCCCCGTCCCCGTACAGAGCTGTGAACTCCGCCTGTGGGAGAGAAGGGAAGCAGGAGAGAAAGGAGAAAGGGATATCAGGAGAGGAAAGAGGCAAGAGGAGAGGGAGAGTTCCAGTTCATTCACTGCAAGCACCACTCCACGCCCAGCCCAGCTCTGGCCAAAGCTAACTGGCTGCATCCCCTCTCATCCCCCATGAGCCCCTGGCTTATCTGCCTTCCCTGCCTCAGGTGAATCCCAACTGTTCCTTGGACAAAAATTCTGCTAAATAAAATAAAATAAAATAAAATAAAATAAAATAAAATAAGAAATTCTACTCAGAACTGGCATCCTTTGACTAGTCTTGCCTGACCACCATCCTCCCTGATTCCTGCCCCCATACCAGTGGACTCAAGTGTAAAATGACGTCTGAATGCCATTTGTCTGCTGGCACTCCCATGGGGACTGTGGGTTCTGTCCTCTACTTTAGACCATGTGCCCATCCAGTGATGACTGCATGGCAGCCCCGGAGGGCAACATCTAGCACCATGCCCATAGCGAGGGCATCTAATTCCCCCAAATAAGGAGTCTCAGCCCCCATGCCTCATTCATTCCCAGCACAGCCTCCCAGCCTCCAGCCAGACCACCCCTCCCCTGCCCCACACCCCTCCTGGCGACCAGCTTTGCAGAGGGATGTGTAGAGCAGCAACTGAGAAGCTTCTTACCCAGCCCCCACTACTGTGGATCCAGTCGGCCAGCCGCGTCTCCAGGTAGGCCACCATCCACTCCTGTACTTGTCCCACAAGTGGCTCCATCTCCTTGTTGACACTCTCAGCACACAGAGCAGCTCCGAAGACAAAGAAGGCCACAAGGCGACCCCAGTTGGGGCCCCCTTGGAAGAGTTCGTCAGAGACCTGGGTGAAGCGTTGCTGGGCTGAGCCTGGGGTCACATGCAGCTGAGCCGCCAGGTCAGAGAAGGTGCGACGGAAACGAGTCTCGAACTCGTCTCCAGCTGCCCGCATGGCTTGGTGCAACGGGTCAGCTGCCGGGCCCTCTCCGGGACTCGCTCCACAGACATAACCCTTCTGCCTCAGCTTGTAGCCTATGAAGTCTGCCACCAGAGCCCGTGTGTCTGGGGCCGAGGCTGGGGTCGCCATCCGGGCGGCTGTAAAGGTCAAGGGTGAAAGGCTGGCATGAATATATAGGGTCAGAGACACAGAATGGGGCATTTTGGGTTTGGCCGTCTGAATGAGACAGGAAGGAAGGTGGGAGGGAATGTTCAGAGACAACTAGGCAGGGAGAGGCGACAACAAGGAGATTAAATCCTAATGACGGGCCAGGGCGTGAGGGGCTGACCATTAAATTCGTAATATCCCAAATTAAATGTAAACAAGGTAATTTAAAACGACTTTAGATTTTACCCACAATAAGACAACACCAGTTCCATGACACCCTACAAACCCCTCCCTGTAGCACACAGCTTTGGGCTAGAGAAGAGGCTTAGCACCTCCCCAGAGGTAAGATGTGAAGATGCTGGCAGAGGCACAAGATGGGGGAGGAGACAGGGGCGGGAGGGGAGGGTGGGGGAGCCACAGGGTTGCCAGGGGCAGAGAAGGAAGGGCACACTCACCCAGCCTGGATGGCAGCTTTCTTAGGACCCAGCACTGGTGGCAAGGAGCCCCCAGCTGGGGCCTTTCATCCTCCCGGCCTGCGTGGAGCCCTGGGAAGGGGAGGAGCATATCAGAGCTAGATGGGGAAGGCCTGGGGTTAGGGTCTGGGCTGAGAAAGGCTGGGACTGCAGCTCCCAGGACCAGGCCCCCGCCTCCAACGCTCTGCCAGCTGTGTGGCCGAATCCATGTTTAATGACTGTCCTCCCGGGAAACCCAGGGCCAAGGGCTTCCAGCTGACACCATCTCTACTCCGGTCTCCCCCCAGTGCAGCCCGAAGGCCCAGCTCCTCCCGCACCCCAACCCTCAGCTGTCTCCAATCCCCTCTGCCTGCCAGGGTAGGGATCTCACGGGTCAGGCCGCTGGCTGCCGGGATCCAGGCCGTTTCCTGGTGCAGGAGCTGGGAGGGAGGGAGAGTGGGAGGAAGGGAGGGAAGGAAGGAGGGAGGAGAAGGGGGGAGGGAGGGCCCGGCGCCTGGTGATGATGGGGCCCAGAGATGCGTCCAGAGAGAGGGGCGGGGCTGGGATGCTGGCTTGGGAAGGGCTACAATTCGGGCAGAGAGAGGGCTGCTGGTGGCCCAGAAGGGCTGGCCGAGAGGGCACTGAGGGCTGGGCTGGGCTCCCGACTCCGGAGGCTGCCCGGAGAAGCTGTCTGGGTGTCAGCAGACCTCGGAGCGAATTCAGCATTTACGGACGATCTCTGATGTTCCCTGTACTTGTTGAACTTCTCTGGCCCGGAAAAGCAGCAGTTCCCGTACTGGTGGGAACTGCCTGCTAGATGCCTCGCTCTGTGGAACTGGCACACACAACATGAACACCAAACATTTCACTTCCTCTTTTCTTCGGGACCTTTAACCCAGGGCTCTGTTGTAGGCTGTGGCTTTGTGGCTCCCTAGCCAGGACTTGGATCGCAAGCAATTTCTGCAGGTAACTTTTCATCTTCTTTCTTCTTTTTGTAAGCATATTGGTTTTCTTTTTCTTTTTACCCAGCATACAAACTCGTTTTCATTATGAAAAAGTCATAGAGGTATAGAGAAAAAAAAATACAGGTTCTCAATCTCCCTCTTCCCCTCTCACAGTTCCTCCTCCCCTCCTGGAAGTTGCCAAAGTTAATGTTTATTCTCTCAGATTACATATACATGCACGCGTATGTATGTCTATTATTATATATGGCAGAGCATTTATACAGGGCAGTTCACAGGCTGTGAAGCTGTTTGACCACAGCTGATCCACATTAGGGCATTCTTGGGCATTCTGACGGGCCCAGCTGCTTTTGCAGCTGGCACTTCCTTCAGCTCTATTTGGAGAGATCTCCATCCAAATGCCATAAAGAGGTAACCCAATTCTCCTTTCCTGCCAGTTCCTTTGCTTCTATCTTCAGTCCAAGCCTTGGTATTACCATCTGCCCCTATGGTCACTGGACAAACAAGGTCTTCTCTGTAACAATCATAGTAACAACTAACACATGTTGAGAACTTTTTAGGTGTTAAGTGCTTTCTTTACATGCATGATATTTTATCCTCACATCAATCCTTATTCTGTTTTATCCTCATCCAATGGATGAGGAAAATGAGTCTTGGAGAGGTTAAGTTGCTCAAAGTCACATACTGAGAAGCTGGGATTCAACCTAATTCTGTCTCCAAAGCTTGTCATAACACCATATTGCTTCACGGGCACTCTTCACTTCAGGCCATCAGTGTGTTGCCGTTAACAAGCCCAAAATCAGTTCTCTCCTGCATTCTGAACACACAGCCTTTTCCACTCCTTTATGACTACTAGAGGCCAGTGCATGAAATTCATGAATTGGGGGGAAGGGGGTGGCCCTCAGCCCAGCCTATGCCCTCTTGCAGTAGGGGAGCCCTTGGGGGGATGTCAAATTGCCCCAGAGGCAGGAGGCTCCAGCCACCACCAGCTGAGCGGTGCTCCCCCTGTGGGAGTGCACTGACTACTGGGGAGCACCTCCTGCGCTCAGCATTTGCCCCCTGGTGGTCAGTGGGCATCATAGTGACCAGTTCATTTCGCTGTTTGATTGATTTGCATGTTAGCCTTTTATTATATAGGATCCTTTCAACACTCTCACTTTTTCTTTGTTCTTGGGCTGATCTTTCCAGCTGCTAGCAGCCATGTTGTTTCCTTCTTCTGAGAATAATTTAATCTAGTCCTTCGTTTGCCATCCTGATTTCTTCTATAACATTTGCTTGAAATAAAACATTTTTAAGTCTCAGGATCCAAAAATATTTGTCTTCAACACATTTATTTATAAGCTCTTTGAGAACAGGAACTGAATTGTATTCACTTTTATGTCCTCACAGCCTAACAGACCTTCAGTAAATGTGACTGAATAAATCACTCAATGTCTCTGGCCAGTTATGAAGCAGACCTAGTCAGACGTTTAAATACAACTGCAGTGGCTATTTAAGACACAAAGGCTTATTTGGAATAAAGGTTCAGTGTCAGTCTGAGCAGCCAGTGTCAGTCTGGGAACTGCTGGACCAACACAAATTATATTGGGTTCAAAGCTATGTATTTCAAGTATCTTCTCAGACTAATACCACAGAGCCAATGAATGACAGCTCAAACTGTATACAGTGTAACAGAGCTTTTGCTAGAAAATCTCAGGCCATATAGGCTAATCTTGGACATTATTCTGTTAATGATATATTTCACCAGGCAAGGAAGACAGTTGTAAACTGGTTGACTGCAAAACAAATTAGTGAAACATTATTTTACACCACCAAGATATTAAAAAAAAAATGTATCCATGGAGATATATATATATATATATATATATATATATATATATATGTATTAAATAAGAAAATAAAACTCAGTATCACTTTAAAAATTAGTCCGGCTAAATAGCATTGCTGTGGTTATTACAATAGCATGGCTGGAGTTAAAATGCAAACAGGAATGAATTATACAATGTTAAGATAGTATATGTCTCTGTTCATTTCCAACTTAGTCACTGGTAATTTAAAAAATATTTATTATTTTATTGATTTTTTTACAGAGAAGAAGGAAGAGGGATAGTTAGAAACATCTATCAGCTGCCTCCTTCACACTCTCTACTGGGTATGTGCCTGCAACCAAGGTACATGCCCTTGATGGGAATCAAACCTGGGACTCTTGAGTCCACAGGCCAACGCTCTATCCACTGAGCCAAACCAGTTAGGGCAGTCACTAGTGATTTTATAATTAAACTCTCCTGCTGTTTTAAATTTAGATATTCTACTTATATTATGAGTCCCCATATTTTAGTACTCTGAAGATGTTAACTAAGACCATTAGATGTTTAAATCTTATATAACCAATTAGATAAGAAAGTGGACTTTAGGGCCAGACTGCTGAGATTCTAATCCCAGCTCCCCAATTATTATCTATGTAATTCTAGGCAAAAGTCCTAGCCCCTCTTTCCATTAATTTCCTCATTGTAAAATATTTATAGTAATATTTCCTACTGTGACGGCTGTACTATAGGATTTAATGTTTTTAAAATTCTTACAACCATACCTAGCATACTGTAAGTGCTATATAACATCAGAAGGCAAGTTAGAAAACAAAACCACATGCGTTTTTCACTAACAAAGAAAAAAATGAAGAAAAATGCCAGCTCTTTGCTTTTTGGAACTTCCCTTTGGAACTAGAATCCTACAGTCTCAGCTCCAAGAGAGTGGTGTGCTTATTCATTCAATAATTTGAGGGCCTACTCTGTGATGAAACTATAAATCAGATACAGCCTCTGTCATCAAAGGGCTTACAGTCCGGTTAGAGATCAGAACTTTAATCCACTTTTTGGAAGGATGATAACTCCTAAGTCCAGAGAAGTTGTGCCTTGCTCAAAGTCACGCAGCTAAATAGCACCAGAGATGAAACCAGAGCTGTCTTTCTACAACTCTCAGTTCAGAGCTCTTTACAATGGGCCACCCACTCTTATGAGCACGTCTCAGCTTCTATTTGGGGCTCTACCTAGTTTCATGAGCTTCCCTTCTTTGCACCCACCGTCAAACTGCTTCCAAACCTGAAGCCTAGGTAGGGTTTAGAGAAGAAAACGGTAAGCCCTTAAGAAAAAGCTGCACGTTTTGGACCTCCACTGCAAGAAAAGGAAATGTTACTCTTTACATCCTGCAGTAACTCTTCCAGCTAGGTTGAGGCCATTAAAAAAAAAAAAAAAAAAGGCAAAGTGGTCTTTCTCAGGACCGAAAGGGCGGAGTCCCCGCCCCCTGATGCAGCTTGCAGCAGCGGCAATGAAGACAGATGGGGAGCCACCTGTCAGAGGACAGTGGGCGGGGGCCGGGGCCGGGAAGCCAGGAGACCGGAGGGTGTGTGCGACTGAGCGCAGACTCAGAGCAGACGGCTTGCAGAAGACTGGAGGTGACCGTCTAAAATCCTGGGAGCTGCCGGCCAGAGGCAAGGTAGTCACAGAACTGAGGCAGCATTACGGGAGGTAGAGGATCTGCAATGGGAGACGGCTAAAGTCGGCGGCTGCAGCCATCGAGAGAGAGGGTGACGCAGCGGCGCTGCGGGCGGGGGATGCTATGTCTCGCGAGCGGCCCCCCCGCACGGACATCCCCCGCAACCTGAGCTTCATCGCCTCGCTCACGGAGCGAGCCTACTACCGCAGCCAGCGGCCCAGCCTGGAGGAGGAGCCGGAGGAGGAGCCAGGAGAGGGCGGGGCGCGCCTCGGGGCCCGATCCCGCGCTTCAGCTTCGAGTCGCGGCCGCCGGGCTCGCTCTGCACCCGCCGGAGGCGGCGGGGCCCGGGCATCCCGGAGCCGCAGCCCCGACACCCGCAAGAGAGTGCGTTTCGCCGACGCGTTGGGGCTGGAGCTGGCCGCCGTGCGCCGCTTCCGCCCGGGAGAGCCGCCCCGGGTGCCGCGCCACGTGCACGTCCAGCTGCAGAGGGACGCCCTCCGCCACTTCGCGCCGTGCCAGCCCGGCGCCCGCGGCCTGCAGGTAGGCTGGGGGGGCCCGCCTCTCCCCCGGGACCTCCCCGGCCCCGCCGTCCGCGTGGGGGCGCTTCCCTCTGGGCGGAGTGCTCTAGGCCACTTTGGCTGCTGGGCCGCATTCTGGCCGAGCAGACCCGGGGTCGGGCTCGGATTGGTCCCTTCCTCGCCCTGGCCCCGCCCCCTGCTCTCCGCGGCTCCGCCCTCCTCTCCCCCTTTCGTCCGCAGGAGGCGCGCGCCGCGCTGGAGCCCGCCCGCGACCCCGGCTTCGCCGCCCGCCTGCAGGCGCAGCGCATCTGCCTGGAGCGCGCGGCGGCGGGCCCGCTGGGCGTGGCGGGCAGCGTGCGGGTGCTGGACCTGGCCTACGAGAAGCGCGTGAGCGTGCGCTGGAGCGCCGACGGCTGGCGGAGCCACCGCGAGGCGCCCGCCGCCTACGCCGGCCCCGCGCCGCCCCCGCCGCGCGCCGACCGCTTCGCCTTCCGCCTGCCCGCGCCGCCCGCCGGGGGCGCCCTGCTCTTCGCTCTGCGCTACCGCGTGACGGGCCTCGAGTTCTGGGACAACAACGGCGGCCGTGACTACGCTCTCCGTGGGCCCGAGCTCCCCGGCGGCGGTGGAACCCCGGAGCCTCAGGGGTGGATCCACTTTATTTGACACGCCCGCGGCCGGCTGCGGAGGCACCCGGCACCCGGGAGCCGGGGAGCCCGAAGACTGGCGGGGAGGAGCGGGGGAGTTGTCCAAGAGAGTCAAGTGGGGAAGAAATCAAATGGGTGCGGAAGTGGGAAGGATCAAAGTCGGGGAGATAGAGTGGAAAACACCTGTTGGATGTGAGTTAAAGAAACCCAAGGCAGTAGGGAAAGGAGACCAGAAAGGGGAGCTGAAAGCATGAGAAAAAAGGAAAGGGATGGTGATAACGTTCTCTTCCGTGAATGGGAGAACTTGCCAGGCCTAAGCAGTCAAGGGTTAAGATACCCTCTGGAATTGAGGATGTATTCTGTATGAAGTCATCTGGCTCATTCCCCCAAGTTTGCCACCGCAGGTCTTCCAATCCTGCCCATCCTAGCTTTAATTCAGCCATAATTGCCTTGTTGAAGTTCTAGTAACTTGACCTTTGCTCCCTAAACCCCGGCCTCATGATGGGATTCCCTCGTCACCTCTGATTGTCCCTGGCTTCAGTCTCAGAATTGGCTGGAGAGGGATGGCAGTCACGGCCGCCGTTGTGGTCCCTGGCTTCAGTCTCAGAATTGGCTGGAGAGGGATGGCAAGTAGCAGTCAGAGCCCCTTCCTCCAGCCTCCTGACAGCCCTGGGGGGTTAAAATAAAGGCAAAACCAATTCGGGGCCTATCCTTGCAGCCAAATAATGTAGCACCTAAAGGGCTGATAAACTCAGGGGCTTCTGGGAAAATGCCTCTTTCTGGGGTGCTTTCTAATGACCTATAAGCACTTTATGGACTGTGTTTGTCAAGGGACAGTGAATCCCAAAAACCACTAACCTGCTCCTTCAGAAGATAAGTCAGTCACTGACTAGCTATATAACTTTGGACAAGGTCCTTCACCTCTCTGCAGCCCAGTTTCCTCCGTGGGAAATTGGATTTGGATTAGGCAATCTCTTACGGACCCTTGCTTTGACATTTATGATTTGTGAGTGGCAGAGTATAGATGAGAAGCCACATGCTCCAACCTACAGTTGGAGAGCTATCATTCAGAACACACAGAGCCCATAGCAGCTGATTGGGGCTGAGGATAGGTCTTCCACAGCCTGGGAAGCACCCCCAACCCAGCCTGCAACCTCTCAAACCACAGCCAATCCTCTGCCCTTGCTTTTTGCTCTGGCCCCAGCCTGGGTTCTCTGAGATAGCTTTGAAGAGGTGCATTTCTCTTGGGGAAGTGATGCTGGGAGGTCCCAAAGATAAACGGAAACAACATTGGGGGCTCTTGAGAAAGAATTGTGGGCATAAGGAAGGGAAAGCATTTCAAATTAAGAATCAAACCAACTTGAAAATTAAATGGCTCCAGAAGATGGCAGTCTGCTCCATATTTTGAGCAAGTGAAGTAGGAAAGCTGCACTTTTACTTATGCCTTATATTTTTTTTCTAGTTAACTTCTGCTGGTTATTTTTCTTTTACTCTGTTCCTAAGCTCTTTGCTTTTCTTTCTTTTTCTTTTTTTTCCCTGTAACTCCCTCATCACTTTCATTTTTCTTTTAGCATTATAGGGTTTTTGCCTTCAGTATCTCTATTTCCATTTGTCTCCCTCTCATCCTTATTCATCTGTGCTATTCCTTCTCCCTACAGAAGAGGTGGAAAACCTACCTTTTCTCCAGGGCCATGGTTGACCCACCTTCTTCCCTCAGGTTCTTTCTTGACAGTCTTCTAGGAGGGAGAAGAGTGAAAAGAAGCAGTTCCTGATGCAGATGAACAAGGAGCTTCCAGGTAACCAGTTCCCCGTCCCCTTTTCTATCTGTTACTGATTTCTCAAAGACAATTTTCTGCAACTCCCTTTTCTTTGTCAGTTAGAGAGAGTGCGTGGGTATGTACCCATACATGCATTTGGAATACAGTATAGATCTTTTTACCATGACCCTCCTGTCTAAAGCCTTAATCCTTTGAAGAAAGATGGCTGAAAGAGAGGAACCATAAGTCATTCCTCAAAAAAAAAAGGCCCTTTAAATATCATCCTTCTGGTGAAGAAAAAAGTTTCATGCATCTTATGGATCATCTTCAGGTCAAAGTTCCAGCAGAGTGAAGAAACTGTACTGGAAGCCACCAACCAATGCATTTATTAGTCATCAATGAAGAGCCCCAGGGAGGATAATGGAGAGGGAGATTGGGTTGAGGCTCAATGTGTAGTAATCTCTTGCTTAATATGTATGCATTACTGTTATGTTGCATTAACAATTGTAATATTATACATTTACTTATCCACTAAAATCTGGTGTCTTGCATGCATTACAATATTACCCTGTTTTAGAGATAGGAAACTCTAAAAACAGTAATTTGTTCAAGATTACATAGGTAGTGAATGCAGAGCTAGGATTATGAACCACTAGCTGTGAACAGGCCAGTTGCCTAAATTTGCTGCTAGAAGGATCCCTGACTAAGACATTGCTGGATGCTCTGTGTGTCCCGGTATTAGATAAATGCAAGCTGGTTGGAGGTAGGGAACCAAGGGTAATCCATTGTTTGTAAGAAGTTACTGGCCCCATTCTCAGCTTTATAGACCCAGCTCTCTAGTCTTCTGGTTCTTCCCATATAGAGCTTCCCCGGGCCTGGGATAAGCTGATATGTCTCAGGAAACACTAGGAGTGTTAGGCATTGAGGGATGAGGGGGTGGGGACGGGGGCGGGGGGGGGGGGGGGTGACTTTCCTCTAAAGGCTGATGACTATGTGAACAGGAGCAATTTAGAGTATATGTCAGCCCTGGACTAGAAAACGCCAGAAGAGAAAATATTACCAAAGTCAGGGGCTTGGGTCCTTGAAACAACACAGCAGGAACACTGTTGCCTTTTTCTCTCATCCAGACGTCAGATGTCTGATAGCCTTGCTTCTTTATCGCTTTGAATGTAGCTCATCATCTCTTCATAATAAGCCCTAGTTCTTCAACTTTCCAATCTAACTCCCACATTCCTTGCTTCTAACTTCTGTGTTTCTCTGGAGCTCCTCTGGATCCTTGTGTTCCATGAGTCATAGAATCAGAGACCTGTGAAAAAAGGCTTGTTTTTAGAAATTATTGGGTCCTGGCTCCTATACAGATGGGGATATGGATCCAGAGATGAAAATTGACTCCAGCAGGGTCAAATTATTTGTTTGTTTGTTTAGTACAGCTCAAGATGGGGTAAAACCCCGGCCTCTTGATGATAGCCCATTCATTCCCTGACTATGAAACAGGCTTCTGCACAATCAGACCCACAGTTTTTCATGGCAAGGGATATCAGAAATGTTTCATTTTCTGCTGCTACCGTGTTTCCCCGAAAATAAAACATCCTCCGAAAATAAGACCTAGCACATGGAAAGATAAAACATCCCCTGAAAATAAAACCTAGCGCAACTTTGGGAGAAAAAATTAATATAAGACACTGTCTTATTTTCGAGGAAACAGGGTAGTTTCTATTCTCTTCCCCATCCAGGCATAAAGAGAAACAAAAGGAACTGATAGTTTTCTCTGTGTCCCCATCTGTGGGATCCCTGCGTGGTTCAGGGCCCACTCAGGGTCCGGTTTCTGGAGAAGGCCGCACACTAAAATGAAGAGAGAGACTGGAAAAGAATTAATTTGGGGAAATGGGGGCCAGGCGGGAAGTCTACCTCTAGTAGGAAGATTAACCCCTCTCTGGCCTTTTACCATTCCTTTTATTGAGATTCTGAAACAAAGACATCTTTTAGGCGGGAAGTTCCTACAACAGAAACTCAACTTACATTTCATATGATTAACAAATTAAAGTTGCCTCAACTACCACTATCTCAACTAGACCATGAATTAATAGCTCCGACCATTCAGAGCCATCAAGCCTGGCTAGCTCTTTTTACATTTTATCTCCAGTGACAATGTTAGGTTTCGGTTCCCAGCACCCATTTTTGCCACTTCTTTTGCTGATATCACTAATGTTGCTAAAAAGATTGCATAATCTATCCATTGAATAGCTAACCTGGATAGGAAAGGTAAGTTTGCCCTATGAATTCACCATAAACTACTGTTCTCATCAGGCCCAGAGTCTTCCCACCCTCTTCATAGTGCAGCCCTAGTCACTGAGCCCCAAACCCACGAGGATTGTGCCTCACTGCAGCTTCCTCGTGCACCAGCTCTCCCTTCTGGAATAAAATTGAAATATGAAAAGAATATATCATCAGCTATTGAGAAATATTGTTTGTTTTTTGGCCAAGAACAGCAGAGACCCAGAGGCAAATTTTCTGGTCATCTCATTTCACTTGGTCCCAGAAGGTGGCAACATAGTTGTGCTCACTAAAATGTAGGACCAAAATTGGCCTCAGGTGGTTAGCCCAAACTTTTACCCTTGAGAGAGGGCTGCACTTTTCAATGGTATTTATGGGGGAGGTGGTAGGCTGCATGTGCCACTTGGCCTGTCTCATTTCGTAAAAGACCTATTCCCTGTCAGTTGGAGTCCTCTGCCTATGTAAAAGTTGGTTGGGAAGGAGTTGAGCCGCCCAGGTATACAACACGCTAGTAAGATCCCACCACCATTGGAGCAGTACAGTAATAAGAAAAGTTATTGGGCCCTGACCGGTTTGGGTCAGTGGATGGACTGTCGGCCTACAGACTGAGGGATCCCCGGTTCCATTCCAGTCAAGGGCATGTGCCTTGGTTGTGGGCACATCCCCAGTCACGGGTATGCAGGAGGCGGCTGATGGATGTTTCTCTCTCATCGATGTTTCTGATTATCCCTCACCCTTCCTCTCTGTAAAAAATCAATAATATTTATTTATTTGTTTGTTTATTTATTTAAAGAAAAGTTATCAGGGCCCCAGTGCCTTAGTGTCCTGGCAGCACCAGCTGCTGGTGCAGTTAAAGGGAACAGCTCGGGTGGGTAGAAGTCCCATGTTTTCCCCTGGGCAGGGGCTATTTTTCCTTAAGGGGACAATCCAAGTTACATTCTGCTCCTTAAGCACTGGAGAGAAGAGTAAAGCCTTTTTCTCTACCAAGGGTAATCCTAAAGCCAAAGATGAGAAATATGAGAGTGATGAAAAGCAAGGGCCTCTGTCTAAAACAGAATGGAGCAACAGAAACATGTGAAAGGGCGGCATCCTTGAAAAATGTCAAGTTCTAGCATAGTACTGTCTCCACATCACCTGAAAGATGAAAAGCCCAGTTACCCATAAAGCTCTGGTGTGAGAATGATCAGATGCCTCCTCGTTACATCATAATAGCCAAGTTATGATGTCGCTGCAGAGTATCCACTCTGGTACGTTATTAGTGAAACTACATATGCTGAAGAGGAGTCAACATGAGGAGCAGACATCCAAGGAGAGGTAGGTGTGGGGTTTCCAGGGTTCACACCATGGCTTATTGCCTGGGGTCCCTCTGTGGCTTCAGCCAGAATTGTTGACAGTAGGAGTATTCCTGGAAGCTGTATGTATTAGTTTTCTAGGGCTGACACAATAAAATGCTACAGACTGGGTGACTGGGTAACAAATTCAGTTCTAGAAGTTTGAGATCAAGTTGTCAGCAGAGTTGTTTCATTGCAGTTCCTCTGTCCTTGGCTTATAGGTGACTTTTCTTACTATGTCATCACATGGTCTTTCTTATGTTCATGTTTGTGCCCGAACTTCTTATGATAAGGACACTGGTCGTGTTGAATTAGGACTCCCCTCAGTCCTCATTTTAACTTTTTTAAAAAAATATATTTTATTGATATTTTTCAGAGAGGAAGGGAAGAGAAAGAGAGCTAGAAATGTTGATAAGAGAGAAACATCGACCAGCTGCCTCTTGCATACCCCCCACCGGGGATCTGCCTGCAACCAATGTATATGCCCCTGACCGGACTCGAACCTGGGACCCTTCAGTCCGCAGACCAATGCTCTACCACTGAGCCAAACCGGTTTCGGCCTCATTTTATAGACCTCTTTATAGACCTTATCTCTGAAAACATTAAGAGGCACTGGAAGTTAGGACTTTAACATAAGAATTTTTTGGAAGGGGGACACAATTCAAACCATAACACTATACTTACTATTTACTCACAGGCAAACCACAGATGTGTTCCTACAAAACTCAAACTAAATGTATCCCTAACAACTTAGTCAATACTCAAATGCCCAAGGCCCTTCCATTTATACCTGATGGAATGCAAAGTATGATGGAAAGAAAGTCAGAGGAAAGAGATAGCAATCTTAACCAATTGTGATGCTGACAGGCACTCAGGGAATCCTCAACCTGGTACCGGGTCCAGGTTCTTGTCACAGGATTAAGAAATAATTCAAGTGTTACATTTAGCAAAGCATACTAAATTTATTCATGTGATAATATGCACTGAGAAATGAAAGCAGGTGACCTCAGAGAACAAAATACCCTAAACGAGTCTTGGTGGGAGGTTTTTCTTTTTTAAATAACGATTTTTAAAAATACATTACCAATTATTAGGTAGAGAGGAAGGGAGAGAGAGAAACAATGGGCTGCTTCTTACTGGGAGTCGAGCCTGAAATCCAGATATGTGCCCTGACTGGGAATCCATCCATTGTGACCTCTTGGTGCATGGAAGGACACTCAAATCACTGAACTATACCAGTCAGTCCCAGCCAGGCTTCATGAAAGGGTTTTATTAAATACTAGTGTCCTGGTGCATGATTCATGCACATTGAAAAGAAAGTAATGCCCTAACCGGTTTGGCTCAGTGTATAGAGCCTCGGCCTGTGGACTCAAGGGTCCCAGGTTTGATTCTGCTCAAGGGCATGTGCCTTGGTTGCCAACACATCCCCAGTAAGAGGTGTGCAGGAGGCAGCTGGTTGATGTTCTCATCGATGTTTCTAACACTTTCCCTCTCTGTAAAAAATCAATAAAATATATTTTTTAAGAAAGAAATTAGAATACATATTTTAATATTGCTATTCGCCCTTTCTCTATAATTGAAGTGTCAACCAAATTCACAATTAACAATGACAGATTAAAACACGTGTGCAATTGGCGCCAGGGCAAGGACAAGCTACATCAGCAGATATAAAAGCCTAAGCAACCAGTCAACTGGTAGTAGCTATGATGGTGATTTCTCAAAAAAAAAAAACACAAAAAAAACACACACACACAAAAAAAAACTTTTTTTTTTTTTGTCCTATCAATTATAAGATTTTTGAGGGGGAAGAGGAGGAACAGGTGGGCAGTGAAGGTTATGTCTGTAATGTTCCAGCCAAGACAAAAAATGGGAGGGGTACAGCTTGAGGCTTTGTTCCCTATCCTAACTTTCCTGCCTCAGTTACAGTTTAAGGTTTTGTTTGTGTCTCCCTCCCTCCCCCCCATTTTTTACAAACACCTTTGACCATGCTTTCACATTGCTGGGGCTCCTTCAGTGCTTTGGAAGTAGTCTGTGAAACTTTCTTCCTAAGCTAGAGGGTAAATGTGCCTCTGGTCAGTCCTCTGAATGTCTGAGCCATGCAAAGGGAGAGAGGATTTCTACCAGTGATGATGGGGGATTAACATCTCTATCTTGAGGATAACATGATGAACCCCCACTAATTCCATGGAAGAGCTGGGAGGCTTGTCGTCTTGCTAAAGGTGGGACCCTCACTTATCTGATATTATCAGCCTCTTCCTTTCCATTCCCCAAACAGTCAACTCCATCTTCTAAAGCAGTGTTTCCCAAAGTGTGGTACGCGTACCCCAGGGGTACGGGAAGAGTTTGGTAGGGGTACTCATTGCACTGGAGTTTAGTAGGGATATGCACTGCACCTTGCTTAGCTGCACCTAATTCTATGTTCTCATGAGTACAAGGGGTACTCAGCATTACAAAAATTATAGAAGGGGTACACATATGTCAAAAGTTTGGAAAATACTGTTCTAAAGCTTTAGGGTGAATTCTACTAAAAGGGAGGCATCAGGCTGTACTCAGAACTGGGGCAAAGGAGTTTCTTCTTTCCTTGGGTTCTCCTTCTACCCAACCTGTCTTTGATTCTGCTCCTGACTTCTGGGAACTAATGTCTTTGAGACAAAAAAGGTGGCAGAGTTCTTCGCCCATCATAATTCCAAGCCTGTGATTAGTGATTCCCATAGTGACTGACTGAACCCTCCAGGGTTAGGCACTAACTTCACACCCAGCTCTTGCCTGACTTTCCAGCCAAACAAGTCTCATTGTTTGGATTATAAGAAAATGATCACTCCACTGAAAACTCAGGGCTGCTGGTGCCTAATGTTTCACTTTTCCCTTCCTTCATTACATACAAGCGATTGGGGCATTGTAATATTCATGACTGAGGTCAGTGTATATCACCAGCCCTAACTTAAACCCCGTGGGAGCAAAAGTTTCTAACTCTCAGTGGGCGGGGCTAAAGTAGGTTGACAGTTGTTCGTATGGAAAGTAATACAATTAATAATGGAAGAAAAACTTGTGTATTCACAACTGTAAACCTACTTTGGCCCTACCCTGTCTGTCTTTCTGTTGCTTACTCCCATGCTTTTGTGGAACAAGGTAGGGAGAAGGTAGGGCTGCGGAAGGTAGGGCTGATTCTTAGTTGAGATTGTTACTCAATGTAACGAGGGAGAGCAGGGATTCGGGCAAATACAGGGCCCGGAACAGAAAAACAGCTGTTCAGTGACCTCAACAGGCAAAAGAGACTCTTTCAAAGACCAGCATAAGAACCAGTCAGTTCAGAAAGTGCTGTTCCCAAGCTTTATTCATAAGACTGAGTCTAACTATGCAATCCTCTGGCTCAGAAGTTCAGAGTGTGTGTGATACTGTAGTGGTGGAAAGTCCATTTTATTGTCGCCTGTTTTTTTGACGGCGGAAACTAAGGTCCCAAAATATGAAACAGCCCAGATCTTCCTTACAGCGCGCAGGGAGCCTGGGCCTGGGCGGGCGCAGAGAGGTGCCCCCCTCTCCCCCCTAGTTCGTTGGGAGCACCTGTTTGGTGCCAGCTGGTCCCGGGAAGCAAAAGGAGCTGCTCCCAGCGCCGCCCCCGCCTTTCCGGGCGGCAGGACACCGGATCCGTCTAGCGCGCAGTTCCCGGTAGCTCCGGGCGCTGCGTTTGCAGTGACGCTGCTGAGGCCGCCGGCCCCTCTGCCGGGAAGGCGCGGCCCGTGCGCGAGGCTGAGCGATGCCGGAGGGACCCGCTCCCGGAGGGAACAACTGGAAGGGGCTGTCGGCCGCGCGGACGGCTCGGCCGGGCGCCGCAAGCTGGGGGGGCGGGGGGGGGCGGGGGAGGGAGCCCGGAGGCGCCAGGCCGCGCGCCCGCAGGTCCGGCGCCGCGGAGTCGAGGGCTGGGCAGCCTGGCCGCGGAGGAGGACATCTTCCCGCCCCGCGCGCCAATAGCGTCCCGGCCGAGGCCCACGCGGCCAATAGCCGGCTGCAGCCAAGACCCGCGCAGCCAATGGCAACCCAGGGTGTCCCTGCGGTGCCAGCCTGCCCGCGTCCGCCAATCGGCGCTCGGGCCGCCTGGGCACCGCCCCTGGGCCCGCCCCGCCCCACGGGCTCCGGCTGGGCCGGACCAGAGGGGCGCGCTCCCGGGGCGGGAAGGGCATTCCTGGTCCCGGCCCTCGGCGCGGGGGGCTAGGAGCAGGCCGCGCCGGGCAGGAGCCCCACTTCCATCCCGGAGGCCCCCGCCCCTCTCCCCCTTACCCCCCCCGGCCCATGGTGCGAGGCTGGGAGCCGCCGCCCGGGCCGGACCGCGGTGAGTGACCCCCAGCCCCCCGGACCTTCCTCCCCGATCCCCCGGGGTGATCTCCGACCTGCGGAGCCCTGTCCCCCGCGCGGAGGGTAGCACTGGAGTTTCGAACTCGCCAGGTCGTCTCTCCTTTATCTTACGGACTTTGGGGTTCCCGGTTGGAACTGGGGGAGGGTGAGTGGGTGTGTAGGGAGGAGGCAGGCTGGATTGGGACGCCCTTGGCCAGGAGAGGATAGAGATTCGCTTGCTCCCTGGGGCTCATCGCCCCAAATGCAGCAACTTTTTGTTCTCTGACCCAGTTTGGAGCCTCAAACTGCCTGTGAAATGGAGGAGAGGAAAACGTTTCCTTCCCAGGCCTCCCTCCTCCCCATGACTACCTCCCGGCGACCTCAACGCACACACAGAAACCTGGCCTTGCTTCTGGGGAGCATTGGCCTTTAGGAACGGAAGTTGTAGGAGAAACTGCCCCTTCTGACCCCCTACCCAGCCATACTCAGAACACTTATCAGGAAAGTGAGAACCCGAGGCCCAGAGAGGTGCCTGGTGCTGCGTCCTAACCTGAAACTTGCAAACTGAAAGAACACTCAAGCCGAGACCTGTTTAGTGAGGTGGGCCCAGGTCGGGTCTTTTATCCAGTGAACTTTTCACCCTACATGTGAAGTCCCTTTACTATATGATTAGGATAGGTGGATGGCAGTAATTGGAAAAAAAATATAAGCCAGTCAAAGTTGGGAATTTTTTAAATGATGCATATATATCTAAACGTTGACATGAAAAGTATGTTCATTCACCGATCTTTTGGGGGTAGTAGCCCCCCGAGTTTTCTTTGGATAAGCCTGCTGATTGGAGTTCTCAATCGACTTTATGGAATGTGTACAAGCAAATCTCAAATCTGGTTGCCTTTTTAGAAGTACTGATGCTTGGGCCCCACTCCAGACTAACGAAGTCAAAATGAGGAGGCTGCCTGCTTTAAAGTTTCCCAGGTAATTCTAGCGTGCAGTCTGACATGGGAGCCCTGCTTCTCATTATCTGTGATTTTCAGGTTTGATTTCTTAAAAATATATTTTTATTGATTTCAGAGAGGAAGGGATAGGGAGAGAAATAGAAACATCAATGATGAGAGAGAATCGTTGATTGGCTGTCTCCTGCCGGCTCCACACTGGAGATACAGCCTGCAACCCAAGCATGTGCCCTGACCAGGAATCAGACCCTGGCCTCCTGGTTCATAGGTCAGTGCTCAACCACTGAGCCACCACGGCCAGGTTTGATTTCTTTAAAGTGGAGTGAGAATTTTAAACTTTGAAGCATGCCAAATGCAGAATCCTTTTAAAGATTTTTAAAAATTGTAAGTCCCCTGCCCCTCCACTCTTTTACAGTTGCTCCTCGGGGGATTCCGGAGGAGCAAGGCCACGCATCCACAGGTCTTTTCAAGATGTAAACTCTTTTGTATTCTTTCATAGGAACCCCTTTTTAATGCACTAATATTTCATTGGTTTATGTAATGCTTAATTACATTATTATATAAATATAGAAGAACAACGGCATAAAGGCATAAGCAGGTTTGGACTCACACATAACTGGCCCAGGTATTCAGGGTAGCTAAAGCAGATGATTCTGGCACACGAGACAGTAGCCTTCCAGACTCTAGTATCCAGTGCTCTATGGGTATTGGTCATATAATCCAGTGGGTCAGTGAAACCAGGCTCCTGGCGCAGTTGAACACCCCAACCTTCCACTCTCTCCAAATACTATCACCAACACCCACTTAAATTTTCTTGAGTCTTCCATTCATTTTTTTCATTCATTCACATCAAGCTGTTTGTTCCTCCTCCAAGCACTCACCACCATTGCCTTAATTAAGTTGGGAGAACATTAGACAGAGATTCTAAAGCTGGACTTCTGAGCAGCCAGTGAACCTACTGAGGTTATATATAATGTGTAAGTGTGAATATTTATTTGGGGGTGGAGTAGTAGCCAAAACTTTCTGAGTGCCCATAACTTTTATCTGATTTGCAAAGAATTTCATGATCCAAAAAGTTTAGAAGCACACAAATTGAATGTCACTACAAGTCTAAAGCCCTTAAAAATATACCATCAAGACACATTTTAGTCAGTACTTCTTCTCTGAATAACGATTTAGGGAATTCAGCAAGATCATATCTAGTCTTTCTAGCTGTCTCTTGCTTTAACCATAAGCCTAGGCTCAAGCCTAAAGTTATGAACATCTATTTTTCCCCCCTAAGATTAAATGAATGCCTAGTCTGGTAGTTTAAGGCTGCTCATTCTTTTCTGCCATCTGCCCAGGGGTAAGGAAAGCCCAAAGGGAAAGAAGAGCAATATCATGACTATGGCTTAACTTAAGCCACCATTATGTATTAGGAAGTCTTCAGTAATTTGTGTTTTACATAATTGGGAAAGTAGATGTATATTGTACACCAAATACGTTATTTATGTGACTGAATATTACATTGAAATATCAAGATGATGCCATGAGAATCTGAAGGATAGCAAACCACATACATGAAAGCAAAATGTTTCCTTTTAGCCTCACAGCCGTGCCTGCCTTATTTCCTATGTGGCAGTCTTCATCCTCATACTGGAGGATGCTACATTTATTCCTTATCTACATTTTTCTCATATCCAAAGTGTTACTGTGTCCTTAAAGAACAGGGTCCAAGATTGTAAGGGTGAGGGTGAATAAACAAAATAAAAAAAAGAACAGGACACAAATAAGGTTAAGTAGATGTCATGTGTTGCAATCAAAGAATTCTCCAGCTTAAGCTTGGTGTTGTTCCTGTGGGTTTAGACTTGACTGTGCAAGCAGTTCCTCACAGGCCACTCAGCCATGTCGGGGATGAATCTGGAGGGTGAAGGCGGAGCTGCTATACTGGCAATTCAGCTGGCAATCAAATAAGATTTATAACCAAATTATGGATTCAGTTCTCCTAAAGCAGTGATTTTTATACTTTTTAAAGCAACAAAATCCTTTCTGGAGTTATAACCAACTTTCAAAATACAAGAAGTAAAAAAAAAAATTCACAATTTTTCTCTTGCCTGTTAAAATCTGGACTCTGCAAAAACAGATTGAAAACTAATTTTAAAGAATTCATTTTTGCTTGACTTCCCCTGAAGCATTACCTTATATCGGAATCACCCCATGAAGCTGAAGTAATGAGACAAGCTACTTATTGAGCCTTTGTTCTAGGTATAACGTCAAGTGCATTTTTTTCACTTGGTCTTAAACTTGTGAGTTATAAGGCTTAGAGGGGTTAAATTACTCTCTCTGGGCTGTGGCCCTGTGGACCGGCCTGCACAGCCTAGTGGACCAGCCTGCAGGGCCCCATGGACTGGCCTGTAGGGCCCCATGGACCGGCCTGCACCCTAGGAAGCAGCACCCTAGGAAGTGGTGGAGCCACTTCCACCTTTAACAGCTGGTTTGGGCCCTGCCTACACATGATATCTTAGCACATAGCAGGTACTCAGTAAAAATAGATAACTTTACATATACCCAGCACTGTCTCCTTTTTAAAATATATTTTATTGATTTTTTACAGAGAGGAAGAGGGAGGTATAGAGAGCTAGAAACATCGATGAGAGAGAAACATCGACCAGCTGCCTCCTGCATACTCCCTACTGGGGATGTGCCTGTAACCAATGTACATGCCCTTGACTGGAATCGAACCTGAGACCTTTGAGTCCGCAGACCCGACGCTCTATCCACTGAGCCATACCAGTTTCGGCCACTGTCTCCATTTTTAACACATGAGAAAACGGGCTCGTGTAAGTTTAGTTCAGTAACTTTTGTACAAGAGCATGCAGCTGGTGGCAGAATTGGGATTCAAACTGCAGACTGGCCTTATTTAAGAATCATATTTCTACCAACTGTGCCATATTGCCTGCATTTACCCTCTTAAGATTATTTTCAGTGTATGTTGCCTTTAGGTTCTGCATGGACTTCAGTTAAGTTTTGCTTATTAAAAGGGAATGGTGACATTGAAATGCTTCTGGATTTTTCTGTTCATCATAAAAAAAAATCCCTCAACACTGCTCTATTTGTAACTTTCTGGACTTGAGATTTTTCTCAATTCATCTTGTAGCACTTACATAGGAATCCTGTCCCATCTTTAACATATTAGAAGTAATATTTGTTTCTAAGACGCACACAGGGAGCTGAATTAAAATTCAGTCAACAGGATTATCCTGGGGAATAACATCAGCCGGTATTTCAGGAACGAAGCATGGTCAGGGCTATTCCTGCAATCCACACTCAGAACCAGTGGTGCTGCTGGGTGTCTTGCAGGACCTACTCACAGCTTATGAACCTGCCCACCTGGGCCTGAGGAGGAGATTAAGAGCTGCAGGCTTCCGCTCTGTGTGAAGGGGCCTGTTACATTCTGAGGGGCTCTCTCGGCTCCCCGGAGAGAGACTGAGCAGTTGGAAGAGACAAAGGCTGCGGGGGAGGGGATAACCTTTGTTCTGAGGATGAGTGAGGGGAAGAAAACATTCCCTTCTCTCTACCCTAGTGGGGTGGGGGTGGGGTAAGCCCCATTTATCCTAGGGACCTGACCTATCTCATCCTACTGAGAAAGAAAAATTAAAGCAATCAGGTTTGGTTTTAGGGTTTAAAGGTACTATTAACCTCTCTCCCCAACCAACAAGGGCAAGAAAAAGGGGTGGGGACTGGGCAGAGGAACAGTGCTGTCCTACCTTCTAGATTTTCAAAAGTATTCCCAACCTATCTCCACATTCTAAAGATAATAAATTGTTAGGAGCTAATGAGTTTATCACTAGAGGAGATAACTGCTCCTCTAGTTTTTGTAGTCGAGTCTTTATTTTGTGACTCTTGTTCCATGAATGTGGTGAAGTAAGTTTGTATTGGAAGGGTAAAGGGTATATAAGGATCCTAAAGACAGATTTTCCTCTTGGTGAAAACACTAGTCATGTGACGGGGTAATTATGGCTTTTTTTCATACACAAAATGGGAATTTTAGCCCGTTGTGACTCAGGGTTATACAGTAAATGAGAAGTTGTTATGAGCACTTTGAAAGCAAAACAGTACAGTACACATAGAAAGTTGATTGTTTTAGAGTACAACATTTTGTTTGATAGAAATTGAGCAGTGGGCCAAAAGAGGAACCCTAATGACGGAGCTGTTTCTTTCTTACAGCGATCTCTGAAGGGCACAAATCAGAAGGCAGCATGCCTCCTAATAAAGAGGCCAGCAATCTTAACACCTCCCCTGCGGGGCTCATCTGCCTCCCCCCAATCTCCGAGGAGCTCCAGCTTGTGTGGACCCAAGCAGCCCAGACCAGTGAGCTGGATGGCAACGAACACCTGCTGCAAACCTTCAGCTACTTTCCCTACCCCAGCCTCGCAGACATTGCCCTTCTCTGTCTACGCTACGGGCTGCAGATAGAAAAAGTCAAGACTTGGTTCATGGCCCAGCGCCTCCGCTGTGGCATCAGCTGGTCATCTGAAGAAATAGAAGAGACTCGGGCTCGGGTGGTATATCACAGGGACCAACTCCATTTCAAATCCCTCCTCTCTTTTACTCACCATGCAGGGCGGCCTCCAGAGGAGGTGCCCCCTTCTCCGTTGCCACCTCCAGAGCAAGTTAGTCTTGGGATAGTGCCCCTGACTCTTAGTGAGCCCACCCACATGAAAGGATTGAAGGTAGAGCCTGAGGATCCTTCAGAGCCCATGAGTCACCTGAAAGCAAAGGAGCCTCTGATGGCACCTGCCAGCGGGGCATTCTCCCACCAATCGGGATTTTGGCAGGATATTCAAAGCAATGATCTCTCTAAGGAGCAGGCAGGCAGGGGTCCTGACCAGTCACACAGCCTAGGTACTGCTTCCTGGAACCACTCTGCAGCTGTCCACCAGCCACAAGCTCGGGACAAAGCCCCACCAATCTCATTACTTGCCAGTGGTTATAAGCAGGGGTCAGCACGTAATGTGACTCCTTCCTCTACCTCCTCTTCCTCTTTCCAGGTACTGGCTAATGGAATTACTGTCACCTCTAACCCCTCCCAACCACTGGGCTGTCTCCCACAGCCACTGTCACCCAATGAACAGGCTCTACCCATACATGTGGAGCCAGCCTGGCCCCAGAGGCTAAGGCCTAACTCGGTACTAGGTAGCATCGGCCCTGTAGAATACCTTTCCCCAGATACCCAGCGCCAGCGAAAGACCAAGCGAAAAACCAAAGAGCAGTTGGCTATCCTCAAATCGTTTTTTTTACAGTGTCAATGGGCACGACGTGAGGATTACCATAAATTAGAACAGATTACTGGTTTACCTCGGTCTGAGATTATTCAGTGGTTTGGTGACACACGCTATGCCTTGAAGCATGGGCAACTAAAATGGTTTCGGGACAATGCAGTACCAGGGGCCCCTAATTTCCAGGATCCTGCAATTCCCGCACCATCGCCTTCAACCCGCTCTTTGAGTGAATGGGCTGAGACACCACCTCTGCCAGTGCCCCCACCTCCACCGGATATACAGCCCTTGGAGAGGTACTGGGCAGCCCACCAACAGCTACGGGAAAGTGATGTCCCTCAACTGAGTGAGGCGTCAAGGCTTAGCATCCAACAGGTACTGGATTGGTTTGATTCTCGTTTACCTAAGCCAGCTGAGGTGGTGGTTTGTCTAGATGAAGAGGAGGAAGAGGAGGAAGAAGAACTGCCTGAAGATGAAGAGGAGGAGGAAGAAGAGGATGACAGCGAGGAGGATGATGATGGTGGTGATGATGATGTGATCATACAGGACTGAATGGGGGCTATGGAAGGGGCAGTCTTACTAAAAGATGAACTGACTTAGTAACTGTTTAAACAAAGAAACCACATTTTAAAAATTATCTTGTGGCAAAGAACTGAAAAGCTTTGTGTTTTTTAAGCTGGGGGAAAGGTGGATCTTTTGAGGGTGTACCAGGGAGGATGATCATAAGGCACAAAGTGAGGTGGGAATTGAATGAGCAGAAATTCAGGCCTTAGCTTCAATGAAGAGTGCTAAGGATCTGGTCCTTTATCTATGTGCTAGGTCAAGGCTCTTGTTCTCACCCGCTTTTCCCTTAGTATATTATACTAAGGATGGTTCTCCTTGGTCCCATGTCTATAGGAGGATTGGAAAGGAGTCGTCAAGAATTTTGATTCCAGTGCACCTAGTCCAGGATTAGGGAATGTCCAGGCCTGCCAAGGCATTAGGGGTGAGTTAATGAAATGTTTGACCCAAAGAGCAGGCAAATTTTTAAGTCTGTAATTTTGTGTGGCCGAAGAATGATGTTATAAATATCCTAATGGCCCTTGGCAGAAAAAAAGGTTCCCCACCCTGGCCTAGTCCCTCCATTTTTCCTGGAATAAGGCTGCTTTGCACCTCTCCTTTTCTCCACCCTTAATGCAGCGAAGAATCTCAGTATGTCCCAGTCTCACAAATTTCAACTCTTCCTCGTACCAACTCGTATGTTTTACTGCTTCATCGCTGAGTTGCAGAAGAAGCAAATATCTTTATTTTCTGATCCGGGGACCACTTTGCCTTGTACCTTTTTATCTCTTTCCAAAATCCCCATTCTCTTCACTATGTCTCAGGGTAAATCTTCCCCATAGAGCTTGTGAAAGTTTAATACTGGGTGGAGAATAATTTAGACTGGATATTTATTGGAAGTGGGAATTAGGAGAGATGTCTTTTTTAAAAAAGTAGAATTAGGTTACAGAAAGGTATAGGAGGGGATGGTTTCTCCTGTTCAGAGGACTGCAGGTAGGCTCTAGGTTTGGTTTTACAAGCCTGACACCCTCCTGCCTAACTTGACAGAGGCTGATTTTTCGTTTTTCTGATGTTGGTCCAATTTTTTATTCAGAAAAGAGACTTTTCCCTCTATAGAATCTGTCTTGAGGGCAGAGAGATCATGGTCTTTAACTGAATTTATTGATGTTTAAGAGTGGTTTTCATCAGTTGGGGGTCAGGTATAATGATATCAATGGGTTAACCATCTAGAAATAAGAGTGGAAGCCCCAAACTGCTAGAATAATAAAAAGGCCAAAAATAAAATTGTTTCTCTCTCCTCCACTTTGCCACTTCTATGCTTCAGAGATTAACGTAGCCAGATACATTAACATTCTGATTTAGTATGCATTTTATTTATTTTTGAAGCAGCAAGCTATATTAAGGTAAATTAAAAAACAATAACTTGGCCCTGGCTGGGTAGATCAGTTGGTTAGAGCGTTGTCCTGATTCACCAAGGTTACGTGTTCAGGCACCCTATCAGGGCACATACACATATCAGCCAATGCAAATTGATGTATCTCCCTCAAATCAATAAATAATACTAATAAAAAAGAACAACTTTGAAAGGCAATAGATCAGATCACTAGGCAGATTGTTTCCTATACCTGCTACAGCACAGACTCGTGCTCAGAAGATGAGGTGTGTCTGGAAATGCCTTTAAAAATAAACCCAGAGTTCCAGGAAAGGTAATGGCCTCTTAGTTTATCTACAAAACCATTCCCAAGATGTATTTGTTTCTGGCAGATGCTTGCTATCTTTACTCCCCCCACTCACTACCTCCAATATTTTTGCTTAAGGCCTGCCTGTGGCCTATCCATTTAATTCTAGCCCTTAGTACCCAAAGAAGAATTGATTTCAGCGGTAGTATTCTTTGCCAATTCCAACATTCTAGATCTTGCAATACTAATAGAATTGCAATAGCAATAAAAGGATGTCTTTATCATCTATGTACTTAGTAAGCTGAACATCTTGTCTCCAACTATTATCAGATGGAAAGGAAAATAAACATTTAATAATAACTAGGCATAGAGGAAACAATAGGCAAACTGAAAAAAAGTATAATAAATTGGGACAGGGAACAGATTGTTACTTGTTAACAGTGGCAATGGGAGAATATATCCAAAACTAGAAAATGAAATCCAGAAGTAAAACATAGTTAATGAGTATATTACCCCCACCCCCAAGGATGACAAGAACTGTTTTTATAACCTTTGTTTCAAGTTGTAAGAAATAAGAGAGCTACATGTTTTGTTGGAAGAACTGTAATCTTCCTGAAGCACTAGTCTTATATAATACCTAACCACTTTCTAAGGAGGTAATTAGGCTGTACATAGTAAAGATAGATAGTACAGAATGAAACCAGCCAGGGGTACATTTTCTAAGGCCATCATGCCTAACGTGTATTGGATGCTAGTCTGTCCTTCAGCAGTATGTACAGATCAGACCTTGAAGATGATCTATCTGGGAATGGTCCATGCTTCTCTCCCCCTGGCTAATTCCATCTGTCTTTGTTGGTAGAGAGTCTGCAGCAGAAGAGAGAAGACAGATATGGATGTTTATAAGAAAAGGGAAAATAAGGACTTCTCAAGCTATTTTGTGAAATTCATTTGGACAGCAAACCACCACCACTGCTTTCGCATAATTTTCTCCATTGCATGATAACTTTCCCAAACTAAGGTTTGAGACATCAAAGGCTTCATCACTACTTATGAAACTGATATTTCAGTGTGAGATTATCTGGTGATAATAAGACTACCATTTTAGAAGACCTGGAACATAATAATACCCACAGGTGATTATCAGGGAGGCAGAATTATGCCTCCAGGGAGATAGCACTTTCTTCAATAACTCTAAAAACTTTATTATAGAAATTCAAAACAAAAGAAGAGTAGTATAATGAACTCACATGTAGCCATCACCCAATTTCAACAACTCAAGGCCCATTGTTCATTTCTATTCTCTCACTGCACCTCTCCACTATATTTATACTAAAGCAAAAAAAAAAAAAAAAAAAAAAAAAAAAAAAAAAATCACCAAAAAACAGATAATCATTTAACTTTCTTTCCATCAATATTTAGTATGCATCTCCAAAAGATATTTTTAATTTCATTTTATTTTGCTAATCCTCGCCTGAAGATACTTTTTTTTTTTTTTTTTTTATTAAAAGTATATTTTAGCCAAAACCGGTTTGGCTCAATGGATAGAGCGTCGGCTTAGGGACTGAAGGGACCTGGGTTCGATATATTTTATATTTTATTGATTTTGTTCAGAGAGGAAGGGAGAGAGATAGAGAGTTAGAAACATCGATGAGAGAGTCACCGATCAGCTGCCTCTTGCACACCCCCTACTGGGGATATGCCCGCAACCAAGGTACATGCCCTTGACCGGAATCGAACCCGGGACCCTTCAGTCCCCAAGCCGACGCTCTATCCATTGAGCCAAACCGGTTTTGGCTGAAGATACTTTTTCCATTGATTTTTAGAGAGTAGGAGATGGGGGGAGAGAGAGAGAAAAAAAAATCGATGTGAGATATATCTATTGGTTACCTTTGAGCACATCCTGATGGGCTAGGAATCGAACCTATAACCGAGGTATATGCCCTTGACTGGAGTCAAACCCGAGACCTCAGACCAATGCTCTAAGGCAAAATCAGCTAGGAGCAGATAGACTATTTTAAAAAATATAACCACAATAGCACTATACCTACAAAAAACAACAACCTGTTAATAATTCCTTAATATCAAATGTGCAACAGGTATTCAATTTTCTTCAACTTTTCCATAAATGATTTTCTATAGTTAGGGCCCATATCTTTGTAGATGGTTTATACATTTCAATTATTTTCTCATCTGTAGAATAGAATAATCCCTCCATTTGTGAGGATCTTAGAGCAGGATGTTGTTTCCCAGTTTTGCCTCTTAGGGAGTAGACGCTAATTTCCTGCTAATGGAAATAAAAGGAACTTTGGAATACGAGAGCAAAATATTTATCTACCTTAATAGGTCCTTGGGGTCACCAGGATCTTGGCATGGTGAAAGGGCTTAAGCATCCTCAAGACCAAAGCCATAAAAGTTAAAAGGCAAGCCTAGACTTCTCATTGAACAGAGCTCCTTAACAAACCTCATTTCCATGCCTTTTTCCCCCTCGTTGCCTGGATCAGAGTGATAAAATGTTACTTGTTATCTCAGGTTTTCCGAGTTCTAGCAGCACCTCTATGCAAAAGATGTATTCCATCAAAAGAACTTTTTTTGTGTGTGAAACTTGGGAATGTCAGCTGCGTCCACAAACTTAGTTACTTTGTTCAAGACTGTTCAGTTTAAAGCCTTTCACTACTATGTAACCTAATTTTTTATTAAAATATATTTTATTGATTTTTTTACAGAGAGGAAGGGAAAGGGATAGAGAGCTAGAAATGTCGCTGAGAGAGAAACATCGACCAGCTGCCTCTTGCACACCCCCTACCGGGGATGTGCCTGCAACCAATGTCCATGCCCCTTGACCTGAATCGAACCCGGGACCCTTCAGTCCACAGACCGAAACTCTACCACGGAGCCAAAACGGCTTCGGCTGTAACCTAATTTTTTAAACCTCAAACCACGAAGCTAATCTGATGGGGATAGAATTTTTAAAATTGAGATCATTATGGAAAATTGTGTACATGCGGTCACCACACTTGAAACCCATGTCATTCTCCACTGGATACATTCTATCACCTTAACAGGAGACCAGAATGAGGTGTTTAATGTGCAGGCCTAACTTGGAGAATTTTTCATACTCAGATAAGTTAGACTAGTCATGGCTCACCTGCAGGGCTGGTAGCTGAAAACCAGGAAGACTCTCCAGTGCGCTTCTACTCTCCCTCTGACCTGAAGATTAGAATAGAATGGTAAAAGATAACTTCGTTGAGCAGTTCCTTGGTAGTATTACTTGTGGATCAGGGTAATTCTTAATCTGGGAACACTGTTCAGAAGGGAAAAGACTATTTGATAAGC